TCAACCACTTCCCATGTGTGATTCTTGTGTAGAGCCTCTATCTCGGTTCTCATATCATCCCTCCATTCTGGAATAGAAAGAGCTTCTAATACAAACCTAGGTATAGGGTTAGAAGCAATAGAGGAATAAAATGAATAATATGAAGGAGAAAGAAGGCCATGGGAAAGATGTTTAGAAATGCAATGTGCAGTACACTTTTGTTTACCTTTCCTAATGGCAATGGGAACATCAAGGTCTGGGAAGGAAGGATGCAAGGGTGTGACGTTAGTACCTGTTGTCTCTTCAGCAATTGGAAGTGTAGGAGGCTCATGTGGCATAGAGGAAACAATCTGCTCACTCCTAGTCTTTTGCCACCAGTATCACTTGTGAATAGGAGGAGGATGAGGAGGCAATGGAGGAGAAACAGGAATAGTGAAGGGGTCCAGAGATGATTGTTCCCTCCTGGACTCAACAGAAGGAAACTCAAGTGAAGAAGACTCAACAGGAACAAGAAGGGGGAGTGCAAACAACTGTGACAAATACTCCCCCTATGAGCGATGCTCCCCCTGAGATGAACCATAGAAAGGAGTGAACTCAGCAAAAGTGACATCCATTGAAACATAACGAGTCCCACTACTAGGATCGAAACAACAATAACCCTTCTGTGTGGAGGCATAACCAAGAAAAATGCACTTATGGGCCTTTGGTTCAAATTTATGTCTTTGGGTACTAGAAATGTGTATATAACAAGTGTACCCAAAGACACGAAGGGGAAGAGAAAAAAGGTCCTTATCTGGATAAAGAAAGTCAAAAGGAGACTTAAAGCCCAAAACTTTGGATAGCATGCAATTGATTAGGTATGTTGCAGTGAGAACAACATCCCCCCAAAACCTTGTAGGAACATGTGAGGTAAACAAAATGCTTATTGCAACTTCAACTATGTGATGATTCTTCCTCTCAGCTACTCCATTTTGTTCCGGAGTACAAACACAGGAGCTCTAGTGGATGACCCCAAATTTAGTGAGATAAGAGGTGAGGTTTTTCTCAAAGTATTCTTTTGCATTATCAGACCTAAATATTTTGATTCTTGTATCAAATTGGGTAAGAACAAATTCATGGAATTGTCTTACAAGCTTGGAAACTTCATCACGAGATCTCATAAAAAATAACCAAATATACTGAGAAAAATCGTCAATGAACAAGATAAAATATCGATAACCACCCATAGAAGGCAAGTGGTATGGCCCCCACACATCAAAGTGCACAATATGAAAAGGAAAAGTGGATCTCTTATTACTTAAAGGATAAGTGCTTCTACAATGTTTTGATAACTCAGAAGACTCATAATGAAGACTAGACAAGTTAATTCCCTTAAACAACTCTAGGAATAAATGGCTCAAAGCAGAAAAAGGATAAATGACCCAAACGAAAATGACATAATATGACACGACTAAAAAACTCTAAAGAAGTAAACCCAAAAGCAACTCTTTCAGGTTGTCCTTGGCTTTGTCCAAGAGTATCTAGTAGATATATTCCATTCGCTTCATGGCCACTCCCAATCACTTTCTAAGACTTTAGGTCCTAAAAAACACAATAAGAAGGGAAGAAGGTTACACTGCAATTTAAGGATTTAGTTAGGCTACTCACTAACATCAAATTGGTATGTAGTCTAGGGACATGAAGGACAGAAGCAAGGGAAAGGGAGTTTGTGGCCTTGATGACTCCCTTGCCAGAGATTGGAGCAAGAGAGCCATCAGCTAGGGTAATCTTATCATGGCCAGAAAGTAAGTCATAAGAGCTAAACAGAGAGGAAACGCTGGTCATATGATCAGAAGCACCAGAATCAATAATCCAAGGGATCCTACGATTACCTAAGATGGCTGCATGGTTGGAAGTAGCACGTATACGTGAATGAGCAAATGTAGACGTAGTTGGGTCGCCTGAAGAGTTCGAGGAGGTGGCTACACTCTCAAGGTGGCTGATCATCCTCCCATATTTCTCATACTTTGCCTTCATAACAGCTAACTGCTCACTAGCAGCCTCCTCATCTGTGGCACTCCTGTCATTATCTGAAACTGTGACTATATTGGCACTCCCAGTCTTCCCATTTTCGATCTTCTTTTGAAAACGAGGTGGAATAAGATCTGGATGTAGCTTACAACATTTATCCTTTGTATGTTTTGGTTTCTTATAGTATTCACATATAACCTCCTTCTTCCTTGTACCACCTGTAGTCATCTTAGATTTCAACCCCATATTAGCAAAATGGTCAACTAGAATAGTTCCTTGAACCTGAACCAGCCTTCTGCTCTCTTCACTATTCACCATGGCATAAGCTTGAGACAAAGATACATTGTCTTTAGCTAGGATATTCTATCTGATAATATCGAACTCTGGATTCAGCCATGTCAAGAATTCAAAAACCCTATTCCTCTCAACTAATTTTCTATTTCTCCGCATCATTTGTACTTTCCCAGACAACTGTTTCCATGAGATCTATCTCTTGCCACAAGGATTTCAGCATTGAAAAGTAGGCTGCTAAAGGTCTCTCCCCCCTGCCTCAGATTATTCATTAATTCACATCACTTCTTAACTTATATGCCCTGGCCACATTTAGTTTCTGTGAATAGGTTTCAGCAACACTATCCCATATTTCCTTAGCAGAATTCATCCACAAATAGTGCTGACTAATTTGTAGTTGCATCGAATTCACTAACCACCCAATAACAGTGTAATTCTCTTGCAACCATTTCTCATAAGATGGGTTATCTTCCTTTAGTGCTTTCTTGCTCTCGGAAATATACCCCCACTTGCCTCTACTACAAACATGTTTCTTTACTGATTGTGATCATGCTAGATAGTTAGTCCTATCAAGCTTGATTATGGTCACAGCCAATAAAGAGTTTACAAGTTCTCCCGAAACCTGTCCGAACTCTAAACCCAACTTACTTTCAACTCCAGAGACATCCATCTTCCTCAAACAACTCTAAAAACAATTTTTGGTGACAAATAAGGAAGACAGGAAATAGCAAACAGCAAGTACAACCTTTACAAATCCCTAACAGCCAACTGTGTCTCACCCAGAACCTGGGAGAAATAGAAAAAAGGCAGCCGCTCCCTGTAGGCTTCACAGAACTGCACAAGCTTGGATTGATCTTCAAGGTAAACAAAAAAACCACTACCAATTGGGCTGAATATCTTCTTCAATCAATCATTTGATTCGGCTCTCCATACACACTGTGTATGGGAAGAAAAAATGAAAAAAGGGCAAAGAAAGAAAAAGGACCTACTCTGATACCAAGAAGAAAACAATCTCAAAAGAATAAGAGAACTGATTAAAAAAGGGGAAAACAGAGGAGACAGCAGCAGCAAGAAGAAGAAGAAGAAGAGAGAAGAAGAAGAGTTCGGTTGTGAGAAAGGTGAGGAGAAGAGTTGTTCGTACAGCCCCTCCTTTCCTTAATCTTTTCATTAAGGATTAATCACTAATTTCTGAAATTACAAGTAGGCCCTTAATTGGGCGGCCAGCTAATTAAACAAAATAAAAAAGTTTAACAGGCCCGTAAGAGAAGGCCCATTAACAATAATAGAACAGAAATATAAAGATAAGTAACAACTGTGGGCTATGGGCCATTCGGCCCATCTTCTCTATACTTCGTAAGGACAACAAAACTGTTTCATAAGGGATAAAGACCTATGGAGGTGACCAAATACAAGAGCAACTGAAGATCATTTTGGCTTAGCACAAAGACAAAATGGCTGAAACAGAAAACTTTTGGTTTTTTATGTAAACTAGAGAAACATGTTAAAGGCCATTTGTAAATCTGTTATATTTTACCATTACACCAAGTAATGCTACCAATTACTCTTCTTGCCAGCCCAAGATGAATAATTGGCAACGTTTCTGTGCTGTTTTAAGTTGAAGATTAGTAGTTTATTAAGTTGTAGGGAGGCATCAGTTATTTGAGGTTTTGAGTTTTGATGAGTAATTGTTGATCACTCTTGGCTGATTCTCTAGCTAAGCAAGGGGTAACTAGGGATCAGATGTACTGGGCCCATTTGCAAATCTGTTATATTTTTTTATTAAAGAGTGAGGCTGCACCTCGCACCTCACACTGGGATAGATGTTATCCTTTGATTATAATGAAATTAATGAAATTCATTTAGGCTCCATTTGGAAGGAGTACAAATACAAATATGTAGAGCGCAAAACCTTATATTTTATACTATTTTTTATGTATTTGTACTGTACATATTTGTATTTGTACTCCTAAACTGAGCCCTATCAAAAAATTGTTGATTACTCTTCTCTGTTTGGATGGGGTAAGAATGTTCCGAGTGTGAGGGAGAGGGTTTTGGGAGTTTTTATCGTTTTTAAGGGGTGACTTTTTATCGCCTTTCTTGCACTCTTTCTCCTTTCTCCTAATAAATTTCCTTTTTCTATCTACTTCCAAAAAAAATGGCCCCTTAAAATAGAGAAACATGGCACCTGGATCAACTTCAGCCCTTTATGCATGTTAAATGGACTCCTTCAATGAAGAATTTGTAGGCTGTTATGGCTGTAATAGCTGCATGCAGTACTAGAGAGATGGAGAAAAACCTAAAAATCATTTAACAAGGGCCTCAAATCATTCCAGAGCATGGGAATTAACCGGACATTCCTTAAATTATTGATGCTTAAAACTCCTTACATGTTTATAGACTCTAGACCAATAAAAAACCTCATAAAATTAAGGAACTTTAAATTATACAATTGCTACCTTCCTACTTTAATTCAAAGAGAACAACTCAATAACTCCTTAACTACTTGTGCAACAATTCTTCCTTCTAGAGTCTTCAGGGGTGCTGATTGATACCTATTAGGGCAATATCCTTCTAGAAGTATTAAGGCATCATTCAAGATTACACCAAATATTTAGCTTAGATTTTGGTATCTCTTAGCAGTCACCTTTAATTTTAGAACACAAATTAATGGCACATGGAGCAAGAATCATCAGAATATGAGTTCAACAAGATCAACTTACAGTGATCACCATAGGAGCAAATGGCTTTGCTTCTTTTTCTTGCTCAATTGGGATTGGAGGATAACTAATACTATGAACTCGGAATCGAATCTGCAATTAATTGCAAAAGCTAAGTTAAATCATTATCCAAAGACTTGAAATTTTGAACCAGATTAAATTAAGACAAAAGGACTGCCAACACAGCAATGCAAACCTCATCTTTTCCATCTATTGGGTATTGTTCATCTTGAAATTCCCATGTCCATATGCCTTCATGCCTGTATCCCCATTACCAGATGAGTAGTTTACTTGTATTATTAAAAGCAAAGATATGGAAGGATAAAAATGAAATGATCTTACCAAAGATCATACTGCAGGATTAATAAAGGCCTAAACAGCATTAGTTGTAATACAACATTCTTACTTGTTCTCTGGGTCGAGTGTAAGACTGGATGGATTAGGCAGAAGATGGACAGGTATATGGATGTCATCAAAGAAACCAACAGACACTGCCATGATAAGATTGAATATCAGGTCATAGGTACATGAAATAGACTGGCTGATGCAAGTCAACAATGAGAATTGTTTCATCACAAATGAAGTTATGTAACAAAACGAAATATATTTTCAGGGAAGAAACTTGAAAGAAGCATATATAATACAACCAAAAATAAGAATTGCAAACCAAATTTTACAAAAATGACAACCAATTCAGGATCTTTTAGTGGCATGGATTTTTTTATCTTACATGCTATTTTTAATTAAAGATCTATTTATTTTGCAAATAAGAAGGGAAATGCATGTAGAAACAAATAGGTCCCATGGCATAACAAAATAAAAGGCTCTACCAATTTATTTATTAGTGTCGAATATGTAGGGGTAGTTCTGTCTTTATACTTATGTTTATGTGCTGATGTGTAAGAATATGTTAGATTTAGTGTCCCTTACTTAAGTAGGGGCATGTTATGGTCCCGCGCGTAGGATCCCGTCACGGGTCGGTCCACGGTGCGAAAGCCCTGCTTTTCCTTGCGCCTTTCCTTGCGTGCAGACCCTATTGCGGCAATCGCGTGGGTGATTTGTCCAAGAGATCACCCGAACTCTCCTAATGGGTGATTTGTCCAAGAGATCACCTGAACTCTCCTTACTCTCTTTCTTGACTGCGAAAACTCCTAATTTCCTACTCAAACTAAAACTCATAACTCTTACTTAAG